GGGGGGGGGGGCGCTCGGTGGCAGCAATTGAAAGCGAGCGAGTCGGTTTGCGACACGAGCGTCTCGGGCGCGATTTTGGAGTGCGCGGTGATGGATGTCACGGGGAGCCAGGTTGGTAGGCAGAAAGAGGAGTAAGGGACTGCGAGAGGAAGGCGAGTATAAATGAGGTCTGACGAACTTCCAAAATTAAATCAAGAAAATTCAAAGTCGGAGTGAGGGAAAACGAGGAAAATTTTCAATTCGGGGAAGAAATTGAGAGGAAATTTTCAAAGAATAGTGTGGGGTCTAGATGAGAGCATGCATAAGACGATCACGATTTCAAAATAAAATTCCGAAAATGCTTGGACGTAAATTCAGAATTTACAAGAAATTGAAACAAAATTCAAGGAATTTAAAAAATATTCGTAAAAATTTTCAAAAGTTTGAGGAGATGATGAAAGATGTAGAGATGAGCTGATAGAAAAAAATTGAAATAAAATGGAAAATTCCTCAACGTATTTTCAGAATTAAAAGAATTTCGAAGACAATTTGTAATAAAAATGGAAAACTAATTCCTAAATTAAGAATTTACGATGAAATTTCATGAAGAATTAGTGATAGCCAAGTATAGTAAGTTGGGAGAAATTCCAGAATTATCTAGGTCAAATCAGTAAAATTTCTCCACGTGTTACAAGATTGAGGTGAATTTAAAAAAAAATTCAAAAGAATTTCCAAGAAATTTCAAAAGAATTGCAAAATTTCGTAATGTTACGGGGGAGGAGACAATGAAATTGATTTGACTTCAGAAGAATTAAATTTCGTAAATTCAGGAATTTATTTCACGAATTTCTGAAATGGAATTGAATTATGAAATTAAATAACAAAAAGAATCTAATAAAATAAAAAAATTCGCATAACTTTTGAATAAAAATACCGGAATTAATTCTGTTCATGGCGTTGGTGGAAAAGAAGATGAAGATTAATCCTGTGAAATAAGATTGAAATTCTGAACGGCAGAATGGACGACATTGTCATGCAAGCACCAAGACGGGAGATACATGTCACACGTAGTAGAAATTTTGGATGATGCGACCAATTAGGTGGGAGGGTGGAGAAGAGAAGGGGGGTTGGAGAGGAGATAAAAGAAGAGGAAAAAGATGAGATCTTTGAGAGAGATCGGCGAGGGGAAGGGAGGGGATTAGTAAGAGGGAGATAGATTGGCAATACCGTGCTCCCGGTCGGCCGGGAGCAATCAAGGTCCTTCGTCCTAGTCGAGGAAGGTCTTCAATGAAGCCCTAAAGGGTCTTCTTGATCGTTCCCCCGGTGGAACGACGAGGTCGTCGGATTATATGCCCGAACTGATGGTGGCGCCGACAACTGATGATGACGTTGACTATGGCGGCAATGGCCATGACGATGATAATGCTGATGATGATGATGATGATGGCGGCCATGAACCAGTTATCCGTGTGGTAACTTTCTGACACCTCTAGCTTCAAGTCTTGAACGCTAGAGGATCGATAGGCCGCGCTCTAACAGTTTGTCTTCGTACTGGAAATCAAAATGGAATGAGCTTTTGTCCTTTTGCTCCACACGAGATTGCTGATCTCGTTGGGCGTAAGACATCTGCATTATCTTCGAATAGATGTGCCGCTCTAGCAAGGAATCCCGTTGTGCACATGCGTGCGGGGGAAAAAAAGGTATGCGGTGGGAGCGGCAGGGTGAGGGTGACTTCGCAGAGGATGGCGGATCGGGATTGGGGTGACGTGGCAGAAGATGGGGGAATCAAGGGGGAGTAGGGGGAGTCGGGGGGGGGGGG